GCGCCCCAGTGGGAGAGACAGGTGTGCAAACAGGTGCACCTGAGGACAGTCGTCTACACACCAACTTAGACGAGAAGGGGTTTGGACGATTATAGGAAGGGATGGTAGATTCCAGTTCAGCGGTCAGGAGAGACTTTCTAAGGAGGCAACCCTTCTGTTAAACATAAAAAACAAGTGTTTGTGGCAGGAGGTATTGCAAGAGGTGTATGGGGCAAGGACAGGGTGGTGAACATAGCGGTATTCCACTCGAAGACAGGACGGCGGAGACAAGGAGTGACCACTAGCCAGGTGTCCCTGTGGCTAACTTCATGGAGAGGCAGGGAGGTAGAGACAAAACCAGCGGAGTGAGTAAAAGTTAGGTCCCAAAGGACTGGGATGCCACAAGAAGTCCGGCACCTTCTGTGAGTGCCAGGGCAGAACGCCAATGCGCACGGGGACCAGCCAAGCCGCGCGAGTGATGACACTGGCCGAGGGAGGCACAGGAGGCAGGGCTGCGCTGCTGGGTCATGGGACATAGTCACCAAATCTTCTGACTGTTCAAAGGGAGGCTGGAAATCCAGATTTTTGCATGAAATCTAATTTTTCAGGGTTGACTTTAATGTAAAGATTTTTAAAACAATGGGGGAGCCAAGCAAAACATGTGTGAGGCTGCCTGTAACCCACCTCTCCCTGCCATCTGGAAGGCAATGGGGAGCCACTGAAACATCCGGGGGGGAGGGCTAGGAGCCTCTAAAACATCTGGGGGGCTGGGAACCACTGAAACATCTGGGGGGCTGGGAACTGCTGAAACATCTGGGGGGCTGGATTAAATTAGTGCTTTAAATCTGGGCCACCACTGGGGGAAGGAACTGAATGGGTTCAAGGCATTCAGGCACAACAGAGAATGCCAACGTCAGCCACAAGCAGAACAACAGCTAACTTCTCGTGGCTAAGCTTGCATCAGCCTGCGGGGTGGAGGCGTGGACATCAGAGTGAAGGCTGAGGGAGCATCGAGATCTTGAAGGCGCACTATTCCAGGTTCCTAAGCGAGAAGCAAATAAAGAGAAGGGACTGGGCTCTTCTTAGAATCACAGCCGCAAACGTGAAATAAGCTGCCCAAGAATCGAGTCCTCAAAACGTTATGGCGAGTAGACAGGTCAGTTCCACACGGCCCTTCACGACATGAGCCGGAGTGAGTGGATGGCTGTGGGGCGCACACAGGCGGGCGGACAGTGGGGGCTTGGAAAGCACTGGGTTATCGGGAGTGAAGCTGGAAACTGCAGTAATAAGGCAGAAGCCAGAAACAAGGGAGAAACCAAAGGGAGACAGCCCGAGGCGACTGGGCAACTATGCCACAAGCCCAGCAAACGCCTTAAGGGCAGAGCTACCAGGGAGAAGCACAAATTCTCAGGAAGGCAGCGCAGGCTCGAGATGAGGCAAGGGGGGAACCTGGCTAATGCAGATTGCTCAAAACACACACTAACTTTCTGTGTTTCAGAAATGGAAGTCTTTGCGTGCTTGTCCCGTCAGCAGGTGCTTGGGACACTTGTAAAGCTGGTGGAAACAGTCTTACGACCTTTAGGAACCGAGGAAACAGTCTTACGAACTTTATGAACCGGATCAGAAAAAGCCCTTAGTCATATAATTAGTATCAACACTAAACATGTTAACACAGAGCTGGAAAGAAACAATAGCAGATGAGACCATGAGTCACACAGACCTGCCCATCACTCCCTACGGCCAGAGGGAAAAGGTCAAGGACCATCACGTATGTCCATCCCGTGAAAACGTCATGACCCCCAAAAACCTAAGAACAGGGTCGGACAAGGATCTCCAAGTCACCGCCAGTGGCTACTTTCTGCAATGTCTGATTTGCATCGTGCCTGGCGGCAGGTTCTGTTTCGCTTCATTTTATCGTTTAGTGGTTTCAATAAAAACATTTTGAAAGGTCTACAAATTGCCTGAGTCAGAGAAGCTCTTTATGTGGCTACACAGTAGGTAACACGCGTGCATAAATAACTACAGTAGAATGTAATGGATGCTGTCAAGGGGTAGAAAAAAAGCGTATTATGGGATTTTTTCTTTGCTTTTTAAATGATGCTTCATTTTATAAAAGAATTTGCCAGAGGATGCAATTCAGTATGTGGGTGGCACGGCAGGAATAGATATGTTCACCTAAAAGGAGAGCCACATTAGAGCTTGCGCGGCCGGCCCCGGGTTAGCAGCAGGAATCGCTGGCGTGAATGAGACACTGGGGAGACCACGGCACGCTTCTCCAAGACCCTGCGCTGGGCACACTGTACCTACACCCACCGTAGGGGCCACATGTTAAGAATACCCCGCAGAACTGTGTGCACGAGGCTGGCGGACCAGAGTGGAGGAAGGTTCAGAAGATTAAAAACCGATAAAGAGATGGAGCTGGCCTAGGTGGAGAAGACTGGATGAGAACCCATCTCTCACCGTCACAGCAGCTCCCATTCGTGTCCGAGCTTCCACCTCTCCATTCCCAGTGACAATGCTGCCTGGCCACCCCAGCAGCCGGGGTGACAGGGGACCTCGGCGTGGCCAGTGGGGTCTGGGTCATCTGCCAGAGGCTGCTGGGAATGGTTTTCTTCCCTGTAGAGGAAGGAAACACCCCTCTTCTTCAGCTGGGCATTGCTATGTCCACTGCTTGGAACTCAGGCAGCCACCAGCAACTGCGAGAGGTCACGCCAAAGACCAGGTCACTGTCTTGTGGGTCCCGAAGGGAAAGATAGGTCCCAGGACTGTGAGGACACAGCTGCACCATAGAACCAGCCCTGGGAGCGCTGACCCACACACCTCGTCCCAGGAGAGGACAGACCTTCCCATTCCAACCCTGTTCTCCCCTGGAGCCTCTGCTCAAGGATCTTGGCTAACACACCCCAAACCATTCTCCATCTTGGCCCTAGCCCTAGAGTTAAGCATTTTAAAATCCAAAACAGACCCCTGCTAAAAACCCTTCTGTGGCTTCCCTCCAGCTCCATTAGGAGAGAGAGCCAGACAGAGCCCCCAGGATCTGCCACAGCATCCCATGATCCCTGTACCTGCAAGGCCATGACTCCCCCACAGGCCCACATGCTCAACACCTCAGGCTCCAAAGAACTGAACTACAAGCTGACCGACCACCCCTGGCTGTGCAACCCCTAGACCTCACACAGCTCCGTGTGACGTGTGACGCCCAATTCACACACCGCTGCTTGTCCCAATGACAAACAGAAAGGTAGCTCAAGTTTGCACACACACATCGAGCCTGGCAGGGGCCAAGAAGTGACTTCCACACCATCACTCTGTCCTGTCCACAGAGAAAGGTGTCTGGCTCACAGGGGTCTGAACATGGTCTAACCACCCCCTTCCTCCCATCTGCCTCCCTCCGGCAGGCCCTAGTCCATCTCTGCTGGAGGCTGAGTAGGACAAATAAAGACTGACAGTTGCTCTCTGTGCCCTCAGCTGCATCCCCACAGCAGCAAGAGGCCATCTGCTCTCATCACCCCAGCACCGCCCGCCTGCCCCCCGAGACACGCCGAGCAGCCGACTGGCACACAGGCCACCGCTACAAACCCTGCACCCCGGCCAGGCCTTAAAGCCCCATTACGGCTGTGGGTGGCATGTCCAGGGCTCCCCTCTGCAGCTGCGCTCCTTGCTGGGATGATGCAATTCTTGGAAAGTGAGGAAAGCTAGAGTTTTAGTTCTGTTCAAACAGGTGAGTGTCGACTTCCCTGCACCAAGATGGACCAGGCCCTCTGGCACCAGCAAGGCTAACAGTGGCTCCTCTGAAAGGGCAAGACATAGGCAGTCAGACCCCAGATGACACCCAGGCTCCCTGGCCGATGCCAGGGGTGATGTGAGTAGTTCCTACCCATTTCAGAGGATGCTATGGACACCCTGGGC